AATTAATAAATTTTTTAAATTTTAAAAATCTTCTGGCAGTTGGAAGTTGTTCTTTATGATACATAGAAAATTGCGGTATATTTTGTAATTTTTAGTTAATAAAAATATAAAGTGTCTATCTCAGTTCGAACTCAGCATACTAAGAGTCGAGTCACATTTGTTCCGCAAGTGCATTGCCATAATCGGCTTGCCTCTGTTCCAACTGTTTTTTCGTCTTGTTGTCTCTTTTGTTTTTCTGCATGTTTATTTCTTTTCGCATGTTGGTCTAACTGCAATGCACTTTTCAATACCCAGTCGCATATGCGAGCAGCTTCTGTGACTCCCCCGTCCGGCTAAGCTGTCCGTTTTTGAGGCTTTGCCTGCACTCGGGTGCCGTTGCAGTGCAAGAGTATAGGCTGCTCTGCTTCTTCTGCAGAGAACTCCCCTGTCTCCCTCTCCCTCTCTCACTCTCTCTGTGTGGCTGTTTTGTTTGGGATGTGGCACATGTCTGTGCCGCTTGTGCCTTGCGAGGCTCGTCTGGTCGGCTCTGTTGTTCAATTTACGTAAAGCGCGGCAACGTCAACTGCAGTCGGCGGCATCAAGTGTTGCGTATTGCCAGCCCTATGCGCCGCCCCCTCCCCCCCACCGATGGGCGTGGCACTAGGCATAGAAATCGCTGGCATAGACTGGAGGCACTAATTGAAAAGCAGCATCCACTAACGCCAACAACGGCAATGGGCTGAGCTGGCTCTGGGGAAATGCAGTTTTTTAACTACAGTGAACACTGCTTAGCGCTGATTCAATTGCATTTACTTATAGTTGGCGATGTAGCAAGGGGATGTGCTTAGGCAACTGAATATACATGTATATAAACATAAAAATGCTTCCAGAAATGTAGCTCCCTCTCCCTCTCTCTCTCTCCTCCATTTCTTTCTGTTCTACTCGCTCAGTCGAAACGTTTTCAAATTTCCTTTGCATACTTTTGTGCTGCATTTGATTACAAAATGGCGTCGCTGTTGGGGGCGTGGCACCCACGCTGCCGTCGTAATACGCGCCTAAGCATTGGCATTTAGTTTTCGTTTTTGCTGCGCTCGCCGCGCCAAAAACTCTGCAATGCGAAACGCAGCGGCAAGTGCGGCAAGCGCCTGGACTTTGACTATTCATTAGCGTGTGTGCCAAACTCTAACAAGCTCAAAAAGCAATTTGCAAGAGGCAGCTAAAAATTGGTAAAAATATCGACATGTCGGCTCATGGAATTGACGTTTTATAGGGCCACCGGGTGCTGGGTGCTGGGTGTTGGCTGCTGGGGGGCGGTGGTTTGGCTCACTTTGACTGGTTGGGTGGTGCACGTTACATAAAACCACGCGTCGCACAAAAGCCGCCAAATCGTTGTACACAAAACACCGAAATACAAAATGGCCGACCTATCAATATAAAAGTGGAAATGATGGCGGTTCCAGTAATTGAAATCGCCAAAAGTTGGCGAGCTTTATGTAAATATTTCCATAATTCATTTATAGCAATAATTTATTAGTTTAAATATATTAGTTATTGCCAGAGTAATCATTAACATATTGTTTTAGCCTCACTTTGGCGAATTTCATGCGATTCGCTTGTTTGGAATGCTTTGTTAGCACATTTTTTGCGCTGGCAAATATTTGGAGTTGTTTTTTTTTTTTTTTGGCTTTATGTTTTTTTATCGGCCACATTGTGTGGTCAGAAATTAGCTGCGCTTTGTTGTCCACGTAGTAGGCCAATTAAATCCGTTCACATCAACAAAAACATTGCGAAATGCGAGTTTGGCCTTTTAGTTTCATATTTTAGCAACAAAACAAATTATCACGTGGCCGCTGTAAGCGAAGGACTTTGGTATTACATTTCAATATTGATTTTGTTTAAGTAATAGAAGAGCAGTTGATATAAGATATTGTAATCCATTTTCATTTGCAATGTTTTAATAATTAAGAATTTTTGTTTAAGCTAAATTCTAATAAACTTTAAATAAAATAAATAAAAATATTTGTGTAAAAAATTTGTTAAAATTATTAATACATTGTCAATATATTATGTAAGTTAAAAAAAATAATAAAAAAATTAATACAGACTAATTATAAAATTTCCCTTTATTAATTATGATTTGAGCTTGTGTAAAACTAATAAAATTAATAATAAAAAAATTAAAATACAAACATCATCTGCCATATACATATTACAAAGAACGTTGTAAATTAGTTTTTAGCCTTTAAAATTCATTTAATGCTTTAAGCGAGAAAATGAATATGCTTATGCAAATGTAAATGAAATAATAAAAACTTCAATATATTTGATGAATCAATTGGATTGTTTTATAAATAAAAAAAAAGATTCGTAATGGTTGCACACGAGTTTCCATAAATGAGTTACATCAGATTGATTGATTCATAAATTTGTATCCCAAGGGTCTGGTGAAGTAGAATCTGTAGCTAATGTCGGTTTTGTCTATAGCACCTTTTGCAGACTCCCATCAAATTGTGCTCCAGACAAAAGAGCACACTCGCATTACATTGCATACTTTCCCAGAATCAGCTTTCGCCTGAACTCGGCCCAGCGATATTTCGCGTCCTTCGACCTGAATTCATTGTTCAGCGGATGCCTGTGCCATGTGTCCCTGCGCTTAGCCACCCTGTGGCTATTGACATATTTCACTGGGGGCAGCTTGTTGAGCATCCACTTTCTAATTGTTGAATTACTGTGCATTTTGCGAATCGATTCGGCTTCCTGGTTCACATTAGCCTCAAACAAGCTGACGTTCTGCCCACATGCGCAAAGTGACGAGGTCGCCTTGCGTATCACATTTGAGTAGTTGCGACGAATCACGGCCATTTTCTGTTGTGGTCACAGTAAATCGGAATTTGGAATTTATGGTTTGCCGAAAAAACTCTGAGAATCGAACACAATTGTATGACTAACTTTACGAAACTGTTGCTGTTTCTACATTTATCATGACATACTATAAATGGACTGTATGTATATATTTTTCATTTGAGGTTTACAACTTTCATAAATCTATATAGTATATATTTTGAACACGTTGGAATTTAGCTCTTGAAATGAAACTTAATGAATTTGTTTTTGCAGTTGTTTATTCGAAGTATTACTAAATATTCTTCAATGCATAGTGTTACTGTTCTTTGTTCACTGAGTTGGTTACTTATTTCAAATTTGTTTACTGTATATATATATATGTCTTTTTTTCAGGAATTAAGTAGGTGAACACGTTTTAGACTTTTGTTTCTCTCTTATAGTTCAAGGATATTGAATGCTATGCAAAGTCAGTTGATTAAAATGAATTGAGCTCAAGGCGTAATATTTAATACGTACTATTATACTATGTAAGTTTGCTTCAGAGTCTACCGTTATCATTTAAATATCATGTGTACCATATATCATGCGTCTGCGAAAATCGGCCCAACGATAACGCGCATTCCAGTGCGCGAAATTTGTGTTTTCCTTTTTGATTTGCTCTTGGTAGTTCTTAAAATTCTTCACATAGGTCGACGGTGCATGATGATACTCTGGATTGGGCTCACGGCGCTGCTGGATAATGTGCTTCTTAATGACAGTTTGCGACTTGGGCACCTTCTGCTGGGGCAGCTCACACTTTCGCCGGAGCAACGATCTCTTAAATACTGAAAGACTACGACTTGACATTATGATCAAATTTGTGAATTTAACACTCGCTTTTTTTTTTTTTTGCTTTTGGTTGCACTAAATTAAGTGTTTTATGCGTGATTTGGATGCGACTCAAAACTGAAAAGCTTCCGAATATGTGTAATTGTTGAAAATAAATGAGATATTTAATATCTGAACGACATATGAAACTGAGGCAACACTGATTCGGCTGTAAAAGTAGCAGCAACACTCATATGTGGAGATAGTGTGTGGCGATTATATTCTATATTGCATTGAATCCTTCAAAATATCAGAGGCGATTTACCTAATTATTGAAATTTCTGTAAATTAATTTAAATTTTTACTTTCTTGTAGATTATTTTATGTGTTAGTTTAGTTATGTGGACATATCATATTTACATTCTTCTGTGTAGCTTTGACAATATTCCATATCCAGAGGTCACGTTGCAGAGTTTTGCAAAGATCTTCCAGAGATCATGCTACATAGCCCCTTAGGGGCATTCCATATAGAAAAGGCGAATATTTCCTTTTGGGTTTGCTATATAAGGCTAAGGCTTTCTTGGCATCAATATATGCAATTAGTTTAAGTTTATTCCTTTCCTTTTTATAATTTAGACAAGGCTTGACTGTTGTCTTTTATTATTATTTGTGAAGAGCTCTTAGCCCGCTTTTGTGCTACTTAACACGCAAGTTCGCTCTTCAGAAACTAGCGACATACTTTGTTATATTTTCCATCTTTTTTTTCCCCTTTTTTTTGAGCTCTCTCAATATGTAAAGGCAAGAGCAGAAGCAGAGGCAAAAGCAAAAGCAACAGCAGAAAGTGGCTAAAGAAAGGACCGAATACAAATAAGAGTGCACTCAAGTAATACGCTTCATAATTTTTATTGTCAAGCCTTTTGGGGTTTGAGCTCTTGGCGTCGTTGTTGGCCCACTCGACAACAAAAGCTGCCGGGCGCTTGGCATAAAAGAAAAACAATAAAACAGCCAAGCGATGCAGAGAGAGAGAGAGGGGGAGAGAGAGAGAGGCGCAAAATGAAGTGCCACGACTGGCAGCAACACAGATTGCAACAAAGCAGAACAACACTTTTTTTTCAAAGCAGCATAAATTTTATAATATACAAAAAATCAATGGGGAAAAAAAAAAAAAAAAAAAAAAAAAAGAAATACATAAAAAATAAAAAAGAGTCAAAGGATTACACAGGCACTGGCAGCGAGGTCCAACGGACACTTCTTATGCAAAGCACTGTGGCCCACTAGCAGGAGTAGCAGCAGCAGCAGGAGCAGCAACAGCAACAGCATCCCTCCCGTTATGCGACGTGCTGCACCCTTTTTGGCCAAGTCATGCAATTAACTTGGCCCGGCAAAATGCTCTGATTTCATTTTCGTGTTCATTGTTTTTGTTAAGTTGTTGCCATTTCTAGTGCTTTGTGCGAGTTAATTTTAATGCATACACATACATATATACAACCATTTATATATACATGCAAACATAAATATATTTATATAAAAAATCTGCAATTCATTTTGTATTTTCCACTTGTTGGCGTAATTAGTCGCGACTGCACTTTGACGTTGTCTTTGATGTTGTTCGTGTTAAATTGGGCCAAGTACTAGAAGCGGCCTACTTGACCGAAGAGCTCGTAATTGTTTAATTACAGTATATATAGGGAAAGGAGGAGGGAATGAAACAGCAGCAACAACAATTCATAAATCATATATATATTTAATAAGCAAACTCTGTTTTTTTTTTTTCATACATTAAAAAACAAAAAAAATGCTCTTAACTTAACTTCTGATAACTTCTGGTTTATTCACCTCCTTCTCTTACTTCACTGAGGAATTTTGATGCAGGGCGAGTGCAGTTCCCTGACGAGTTCTTTGATTCTCGGTAGAGCTTGATGTTTTCCTAGAAACCCAGTCGCTTGAGACCATATTTCTATTTGAAGTGACTCTGTTCGGTAACTGGAATGGCAATATATGAAATATATTAATAATGATTCGAATAGTGTGCAAATGTTTGTTTGTTTGTTTGTTTATGGCTTACTCGGCGGCTTCTGCTAAAGAAAAAACGGTACCGATCAAGAAGAGAAAAAGATTTTTGTTTTTCTGTTTTATTTGCCAAACAATTTCCTTTATTTTATTTTATCTTTGCTGGCATTGTCAAGTATTATATGTATATAGGAAATTTTCGATTTTAAATTCCAATAAATAACTGCATGCAAGAGTTAAATTTTTTGTTGTAAAAATAGTTGGTAAAACCGAAATTTAGGGGAAGCCGTAAGTAAGCTCTGTGTCTGTCTACCTTGCGGCAGCACAATATTGTGTTTAATAGCCTGTACCTCCATATATCATACGATGACGAAACGCGGCCCAGGTATTTCTGTGGTTATTATACGTTGAATAGGGCGCGATCACTTTCTTTGAAAGCGCCTGCTGATGAGACGGTCGTTGCCTGGTCACTTGCGATAGCAGTTCCTGATCAGCTTTGCGCTGAAGCAGTTGGTCGTCCTCCTTGTCAATATTTCCAAAGATTACTTCACGAACAGTGCCCACCTCCACGTCCTCGTCGCTCTCGTCGCTCAGATCCTGCTTCTCTTCGGAGTAGGTCTCGCTGTGCGACTGTGCCCCGGCGGCTGTGCTCCGTTTGGACTTTGCATTCCTTAGCGCAATCATGCTGTTGCGTCGGGGCGTAGCGCCCGATCTTCTGGCCAAATGCATTCGCATGCTATTGGTGCCAAATTGTCTGAAGTTGTTCCAGTCGCGGCTCTGTTGCGCCAGTTGAGCAGCTGCGAAGCTTTCCTCGCGCTCCGGCCACGATCGCTTGTCGCTCAGCTTCATGCTCATTGCCAATGCATCGTAGCCTTTCTCCAGCAGGGCTCGGCTACTATAGGGACGCCGACACACCTGCAGAGTTCGGGCGACACATTTCACAGTCGATACGCTCCTTGAGGTCATTGCCGAAAATGTTTAACTAAAACTTTTGGGGGATACAAATTTATAAATAAATATTTTTCACCTACTTCTGGGCAAATCTTTTAAAAAACAATTTTTATACTTTCGAAAAATGAAATTTTGTTAATCTATGTATGACGAGAAGTGAGGCATTAAAATATAAGACCTAAAATTCAATATCGTCATTATAAGTGACATTGAATGCAGTGACTGCTTGGGATTAGATCTGAATATGAAAGAGAAGAGGTAACTTTAATGGGTATATTTAATATTTTTCTCTATTTAAATAAAATGTTGATGATTTTGATTCATGAAGAGAATCTATCCGTATAATTCGGCTTATTATTAATTGTTTTTTATTTAGTAAATGTTTGAATATAATGAAAATGAGAATAGATATTTTAAAATTTTCTAGGCTCTATATAAAGTTTCTATATCTTTTTATGAAAGTTTCTTATATTTTATAGAAGGGGAATAGCAAAATACAGAGTACAGCTTATTATTACGAATTGTAATTAAAATTTTTATTATTTATTTTAAATATTTTCACAACATTCAACACTCATTCCTATAAATACAATCGATTTCCACATTCAAACACTTCCCAGAGTATTACATCTTTGCTATATCAAAGCCCAACGCCACATCTTGTTATTTATTTATTTATTTGTGTATTTATTGCCAGCAGAATTCAATTAAAAACCTACTTGAGTTGCGTTCCGAACAAATTACAAATACATGCACGACAATGCAAAAATATTCCCCCCCTAGAAAAAACAATTTGCCTCGTCACATGAACAATTTATTAATTCTGCAGCAGGCAACAGACGCAGCAGGCGCAACGTTTAGGGCTGGAATCATTTTTTGGCTTGCAGGCTTCAAGGCCTATGCAAAATTTAACGCAATTTTCAGATAACATAAAGCCGGCAACAACAACGTCGCCGAGAAATTGAGTTAGCACACAATTACAACAACAATTATGAGTTGCATTTTACAATAAATGCAAATACAACAAACAAAAGTAAATAACGGAACGAACAATGAATGCACTGCAAATGCACATTGACAAACCTAGATGTGGTAAGGATAATTGGAAATATATTTTATTTTATGATTTTTATACACATATTTTTATTTTATTTGCAAAATTAAAAAAAATATATATTTTGGCTATTTAAGTTTATTTTTAAAGATTTTAAATAATATATTTTAGTTTTTTCTAGTGCCAGATATGATTTTGAATTTCTTAGTCAAGTCATATTTTTATATATATTTTATTTTATTTTTATTGGCTCTTTTGACTTTGATCAGTTTTATATTAAAAAAAAAAAAAAAATTAACAAATAANAATGTATGCTTATATGCAATTTATACAATTTCGGTTTTTGTTAAAATTTACCCCCCACCTCTAAATTCACCCCCTCACCCTCACTTTTGTAAAACGCGTATTTCAAATACTAGAGACTTGTGCTTTGGCAATTACATGCATATTCATGTTATAATCATAATCTGAAAGTTTCATGAAGATCGTACGTCCACAAAAAAAGTTATTAAACAATTAAGTTCTCATAGTAAGCGCACACTGCAGCCCATGCGTGTTTATGCGTGGGTGCTTGTATGTGTATGTGTTTGTGTATGTGTGTGTGTTTCTTGTGTAAGCTGAAAGACGCGAAAAATTATTGAAATAGCTAGCACTCCAAGGGTTCAGGGGATCTCGTAGTCGAGCAGTCTCGACTAGAGCTTTCTTACTTGTTTTTTATTTGGATAAGTCTAAAGACAAATTGGAGGATTACTTAAGAATTGCTTCTTTCCGGTTCAATTATTTTTATTTATCATAATAGCAACATAAATTTCATAAATGTATTTTTATAAAATATTCCGTTGACAAAACACTTGAACTAAGCTAAAGTACTCGTCAAAGGTTAGTGTATAAAATGTCAGTAAATTTGATTGTAGTTGGTAAGAACTATGCGCAGTGCTGTAGGCTGCAATGCTGGAGGTGGTGAGCGAGGGGGGGACTGCAAGTTTTGTGCGTTGTTTAAAATGTAGGCAAAACATGTCACAGCATTTTAATTTAAATGCAAATTAAGGCTTTTGTCAACACTCGAAGACTGGAAATTGAAGAAGAAGCGACAGCAGCAACAACAACAACAACAAAGACAACGGCAACGGCAGCTCAAGAAACTGCTGAAGCATCAAATGGCTTCAAGGCCAACACCCAGAGAGCTGTCTAGCAATTGTCAAGCTTCTGACAACAACTGCCATCCTATCACATTGCAGTCAATAAACACCAGCCGTCCTACCGGGCACACACCGTACCGCCCAAGTAGCGCCACAGCCAGTCCAGATGGCCCGAGATGCGGGTGTTGACTCCGATGCCATAGCGCTGGCCACAGGCGCGTCCATAGCTGATGATGCCGAGCAGAAACAGGCGGGATCGCTGACGCATGATCACCGGGCCGCCTGAATCGTACTGGCAGGAGTCTTGGCCCAGTCCCAAGTAGTCGTAGGTGCACACCTGACTGCTGGCTACGGTCAGATTATAGCGTGCACTGCAGTCGGCATTCGCAATGGTCATCAGGCTGGCCTTTTGCAGTGTATTCGATTTGGACATGCCAAAGCCCAGAGTACCCCAGCCAGCGATATCGACAATCTCGTAGGTTTCCGCTCTAAGGGAGTTAAGAGAGATTTAAGAGAGATTTATGCATAGTCATAGTCGTGGTGCTACCAGTTCTTGGTAATGATATATATGTCTCTTAGGGTGAGGTGATTCGAGCCTTTATGATAATAATAATAATGTTTACCTTCTGCTTAGTAGGCGCGAAGTGAAGGTAAATACTTTAAAGACTCTTTATGACTGCATAAATTAATAGTTAATGCTTGATTTCGTTTTAGGTGTGCTACTTAGTTTCGAGGCCATTGAGATAAGCCATAAAAACAAATTTTATAGGATTACTTAGAAAATTGAGTTTGCTTTTTGTTTCAGGCAAAAGTTGCATTTGTTAAAAAAAAGATTAAAATTAAATGAAGAATTTAAGAAAAATATTCCTTGAAAGTGCACACGATAATTTACTGAATAGTTTGATCCTACTTCGATTAAAATGAAATTTAGAATCTCTAAAAAATATGTATAAAATATGCACTAGATAATTTACTTAATTTGATACTATATCGATTAAAATAATATATAAAATCTTTAATAAATATTTATAAAATATGCACTGAATAATTTACTTCATAGTTTGATGCTACTTCATTAAAATGAAATTTAGAATCTTTAAAAAATATTATATTAATACATAGTATGCACTGGATAATTTACTTAACAATTTCTTCTTCTTCTTCAACTTGTGAATTTACTTCCTCAATATAATCTGTCTTTAAAACCTATGTAATAATATATTATATATGTAATATGCCATATATGTAATAATATGGTATAGTAGTGTATAGAATCATATATATCACAGATAATATCGTTAGCTGTATCGTATTGTATATCGGAATATATCATAAGATAACCATAAGAAATATTAAGGTATTGTATGTATTGTAAGCTAAATCGTTAGATATATGAAAAAATGCAGTCTGTATTATAGTATTTATATTCGTGACTGTTTTTCTCCTATATTAATCTCTACTCACTGTTGTGTTTGTCCAAAAGGCAGACAGATGGGCGCCACGCCGCGTGAAAATTCGATAGTTGTGGCCGTGCGGAGCAGAGCGATGTCATTGGAGTCGCCAATGCTGCTGTAGCCTGGATGAGTGATAATGCTTTGTATGGCGTATTGAAGAGAGAATATCGACTCGCTGGCTGCAAGATGAAGAGAGAATATAGAGGGAAGTCAGTCAGTTTATAGCTGCTGAGCAGCACTTACCACTGGTGAGATCGTGATCCCCGGCTAGAGCCAAAATACGACTGGGCGATCGCTGGGCCATGCAGTGCGCTGCGGTGACTATGAAGCGATCACTGACAATGCTGCCGCCACAGAAAATGGGCTGATTGGAGCTAATGTCGCGTAGGCCCACGGTCGAGGGAAACTCGTGCTTGGTGGCCTCAACGCCGTTGGTGATGCGCGTCGGCTGGGACCAGCCGCAGTCGCAGGGCACTCGCTGTGCCACCGCCTGGCAGCTGAGCCTGGCCCGCTGCTGGGTGGCGGCACTGGTCGACTGGTAGGCCAAGGCGAGGCTCTGGTAGTTGGAGGTGCGAGTCACTTGACCCATGCGGCAAAAGCGTTCCGCTTCGCGGAATTGAAAGTCTCCGTCTCGAGAGATGAACAGAATCTTGGACTGACAGATGTCGGGATACTGAAACCAGATCGAACCTGAATGAGTTGAAGTTCCTGCAAGTATTTCTCGACCATTTCTTACCACTTCGAAGCGACAGTTCACGTGGATCACATGATTGGGCGGTGCTTTCAGCAGGTAACGGCAGTTGCTGCCCGCCGGCAGAGCTCTCGGAAAATTGGCGCTGGTTATATTGATGGGCTGGTTGGTCTGCAGATTGTACTGCCAGTTGCAGCTCTGCGCATCTGCTAGCGTAAGCAGCAGTGGCAGCAGCAGTAGAATCGAACTGGCTGATGGCAACCCCAACATTCTGACGGCATATGATCTCAAGTATCTTAAACAGAGACTGCACTTGCTCTTATTTGGGAAGCAGTTCTGATCATCTATATATATGTAAGATATACATATATGTAAGTATATAATGGATATATTATATGTTTTATTTAACAATATTTAAATTTTACATAATATCTTACATAAAGTCAGCGAAAGTAGATTACGAAGTCAATGTCACATAACGGAATCGGCTCTTGACTTATGGCTGAAGGTTGTAAGTTACTGCAAATAAGATTGCATTTTAGCTTGACACAGAGAAGAAGGCCTATATATAATAAATATATTATATGATTTTTGAGTAAACGAATAACGAATCTTTGACTACATATTAATAACAATTAAATATTAAATATGTATTTAAAATAATAAATAACGATGTTAGTCAACATATATAAGTAACAATTTAATATTACATATTTTTAAATATTTATTTCAATTTAATTGCTAAAGAAATAAAGTATCTCACAGTGTAAATTAAAAATCGTAAGTTTCTTT